AATAAATTCGAGTTAATTAAATAATTAAAGAATAAATTATTTATTTTTCGAGTACACGTGGATAAAGAACAATCGTTAGATGATAGAAGAGTTAAGATGAATTGAAATATCATAAATATAATTTTCTTATTTTTTAAAAAAAATTTATTGTAAATATAAAATTAAAATTTGAAGTATACCGAAAATATTTATAAAAAAAAAAAGTCTTCAAACTCATAAGTGATAATAAAACAATTAATAATTATTGTGGAAAAAATAATGGTTTCATACTTTGGTTATAATTTTTAATATGGTAATTTCTGTATATTTATATTAATTAAATTATATGTCATAATTAATAAATTTTATTTAATTTTATATATATGTGTCAAAATTTTGACACAAATATAATTAATTCGATAGATATTTATATTATAATTGAAAAAAAAAAAACGAATAATGACGTTACTATTTATTTAGTGTTTGATAAAAATTTAAATGGGATATAACCAAGCATTAAGGTAACGGGTTTTGATTCGAATCTTCAAAGGTTCAAGTTCTTATATTCCGGCCTTGAACTACCGCAACAAATCTTGCTCGAGTATAGGTATTTTCATATTAAATTTCATAACCTAAATTATATTTTTCGGGACAATTTTAAGCATACATTTTTTTCTTGAATCAATTAGGAATATTTTATGTTCGTGAAATATTATTGTATAACAATGTCGATACTTATTTTATTTTTCTAAAAATATTTTTATATAAATATGATTTGTTTAAAAATTTTAGAGTGAAGATGAAGCATGCATTCCAATCATGGATAAATGATATATATTTTTTAATTAGTTAAAATATTAATTTGATCCCTGTACTATTTTAAAATATTTAAATTAAATATTTTTATCCCCGAACATATAACAGTTAGAACACGTAGATTCAATTGTTTTTCCATACATATGAGCACAGAACGGTTATGTATGAGTACACACTTATCACTTCGTCAATACATCCGAATACAAAACGATTATGTACGTCTATATTGAAGCCTAGCATAATGCATGGACATTCTGAATAACTTCTTTCCATAATGAGTTATGTACATGCATAATATCCACTTATATTAAAGTAAAACTTCAACAAATATTTACTTAATAAATACGGAAGATAAATTAAAAACGTGCACATTTTTATACTGAAAATATGTAAAATACTTCAAAACTATATAGATTATGAATTCATAATATCCATTTACCTTGGGTCTTTAACTGTCGTAATCTTAATTCCGGTAAAGTTCGATTTTATTTATAATTTTTTTCTCTCAAAAATCCGACAGAATTTTGGGATGATTTTTTGTCACTTTTTTTACTAAAAAATATATAATATAGTACTAAAAAACTAATTCTAAAAATTAAAAAGAAACTAAACTTCCAAATTTAAGAAAAACTTACACTTTTTAACTTACTTATGATCGTGAGTCTTATTCTTCCTCTGCTCTCACAAATTTAACAAAGTTTTTCTAAAAATTTTATCTAAAATCTCAAAATACTTTCAAACATCACACACATCGTACTCCATCTTCTTACTTCACCTCCATATTTCTTACTATTTTTCTCTCATCCATAATGTCTATTCCTTCTTTCTCCTATTATCAGAACATACTTATTTAATTAGAATTTATATGATTTAAGTAAGTATGCTCAAATCATTACCCTATAAGACGGGGTGTGGTCCGTAACAATTAAGATAACAAGTTTTGGTCCGACTATTCGAAGGTTCGAGTTCTTACATTCCAGTCTTGAACTACCACAACGAATCTTGCTCGAATATAAATATTTTCATATTAAATTTCATAACTTATATTATATTTTTGGGGGCAATTTTAAGCATATATTTTTCCTTGCATCAATTAAGCATATTTTATGTTAGTGAAATATTATTGTATAATAATGCCGATACTTATTTTATTTTTTTAAAAATATTTTTATATAAATATGATTTGTTTAAAATTTTTTTGAGTGAAGATGAAGCATACATTCCGGTCATGGATAAATGACGTATTTTTACCTTTAAATTTGTATTTAATTATAAAATTACATAAATATAATAGATATAACCAAAAAAAAAAAAATTAACTTCATATAATTTCTATGTGAAACTGAAAAATATATTTTAAAACTTATTAGATTTTAAAAAATTGAAATATATTTTCTAAGTAGCTAAAATATTAATTTAATTCCCCGTACTATTTTGAAATATTTGAATTAATCTCTATATTTTTATTTATTATTTTAATTCCTATATTTTTAAAAATTATTATCTTACTCCATATTCGCTAATAGTGTTAGTGGCGATGTCACGTGAACTCAGATTTAACACATATTATATTTTGATTAAATTGTCTTCTACGTAAGATATCACGTTTTTAACGAGATGACATTCGGCGTGTAAAAAAATAATATAATTTAAAAATATAAAATTAAAAGAAAAAAATAAATAATGGGCCCTTGGGATCTTTATCTCTAATCCAGCCCATTTTCTCTCTCTAAATTCCAACTATCGAATTTTGAAGTTGATTATATATATATATATATATATATACACACACACAGAGAGAGCTTTAGTTAAAGTTATAAAAAATTATGTTTATAAGACCCAAAAATGATTAACATACATTATATCTTATTCTTTAATTATGACATGTCTAATAATTATTAGAACCAAATAATTTTAATGAATAATGCTTTAATTTATATGGTATATTTATTTATTTTTATAAAAAATATCATTACTAAAAATTTGTGATTACTAATATTATATACATTGTATATGAATTTTTATTTATATATTTAATTATTTCAATTGTATGTTACTTTCAAAAATGGTAAGTATAAATAGTTAAATTAATTATATATCATAATTACATTTATATTCATTGAATTATATTGATTACATGGATGATTAATAAAATACGCGAACTATACTATATTTTTAATCATAATAATTAAATATGTACTTAATGAAGTAAATGATATTGAAAATAATCAATGAATAAGACTCCACTTTTAGATGATATAATATATACTTTTTATTATGTTATTTTAAAGTATTTGAAAAACTATAGAATAATTTTTATATTTTATGATTAAATTTATTACATGCATAATTTGTGTATTAACATTAATTTTATCAAGACACCATTAATCATGTACGAATATTACGAAATACTCGACTTAAAATCTTAATACAATTATAAGTCGTATAATTTTTCGTTTTATAAAAAATTTTAAAATTTTATATAGGATGGTAATTTACACGAACATGATTTAACATTCGATTTAAAAGATTAAAGGTCGAGATTTTCTTCTGATCTCGAACTTATTCGGGACCGAATTAAATATTTTTTTAAAAGTATAAATAAAGTTAACATATATTCTAACATGTACATATATATACTAATATCTTGTGTATATATGCTTATTTATATCTTATGTATATAATGCATTTAGAAAAATTAAGATATTTTGTACAACCCGATCCAATTCAGTTCAAATTAAACAAAATTTCAGTTCAATTTGAACCGAGAAAGTTTCTCAAGTTCAGTTTGTTACTATCTGAAACGGCCCAGTCTGATGCAGTATCAGTAGACGGTTACTCATCCAACTACAAAACCATTCGTTGGTTTTGGCCTGCAACTGATAGGGAAAAAAGGTAGCTTCGCAACTATTACTTCATCAGAAAACAAGTAATGTCAAGACAAATGTCGATGTCATTCTGCGCTCGCCTATAAATTCGCCGAAGTTTCTTTCATGAGAAACTACCTGCTCCGGAGCCGTCCTCAATTTGGCGTCTACCTTGTAACGCGCATTTTCGGGTGAGTTGCAGTGGTTTTTCCCGAGAAAATTTCAGCAGTCAAAATTTAGGTTCCGGTTTGCGATTTCGCGTTTTGTTTAAGCGTTTTTGGTCGGATTGTAGGTCGAGGAGCTTGAGCAGGAAGTTAGAAATGGCGCCCCCGATTCTTTCACTGGCTCTGCCGACGGAGACTGGTCGAGTTCTCAGCATTCAGTCGCATACAGTTCAGTATTTTTCCGGTTCAACACCTAGGTTTGGATTTTTGGTTTAAATGATTTAGTGGACTCTTTAAATTTCCTAAATA